CCGACATCTGAGCACATGGTTGCTCATGCCAGCACTGAGCCAGTGCAAACTTCTCCAAGCTGCTCTTGGGCCTTTTGTCAGAGTCCCATCCTGGCTTCTCTGAATTTTCACTTAGGAATTATTTATTTTTATTTTATGTGTATAAGTGTTTTGCCTGCATGTGTGTAAATGCAATGCCCACGGAGGCCAGAAGAAGGCCCTGGAACTGGAGTTTGGGATGCTTGTTAGCTACCATGTGGGTACTGGCAACTAAATCTGTGTCCTCTGCAAGAACAGCTGATGTGCTTAACTTCTGAACCATCTCTCCAGCTTGGATTTTGACTTCTGACGTTAGTAAATGGAATCTTCTCCCTGGGCCTTTTAACACAGATCTATAAATACAGCTATTCTGGAAGGTGAAACAGACCACAAGTTCAAGGTCTGTCTGGGTAACTTTAGCCAGACATTGTCTCAAAATATAACATAAAAGGAGGGCTTGGGAAGTGCAAGGCTTCATGACCCCCAGCAAGGCGGCGGGTGAGTTGGAGCCTGTGCGCATCCATCCGGAGGCAGCTCCGTATCTCACATGCCTTAGTGGTTGCCGGTCTTCAGCTAACACACACACCCTCCACACTCACAACCCCCCCATACAGTCTCCACATACCACACCTCTCTCTCTCTTTCTCTCTCTCTCACACACACCATACACAAACATACACCACACTCCCCACCATACCACACACCACAAACCCATTCCAAGCACACCACACACACTACACACAACAACCCCCAGTACTTATCTCCCCACAACACACATATACCACACCACTTCAACCCCCCACCCCTGAAATCTCCGTGTCTGTCTTTGTATTTCCCTGTGGTCAATACTGATATTTTAAAAAACCCAATTTTTATTTTCTTTTTTAATATTTCTTTAAAAATATTTTATTATTTTTATGTGTATGAATGTATTGCCTGCATGTGTCTAAGTGCACCTGGTTATGCAGTACCTGAGGAGTTCAGAAGAGGGCACTGGATTTCCCTGGAACTGAAGTTAGTTTTTAGCAGCCATGTGGGTGCTGGGAACTGAACCCAGATTCTCTGCAAGTGCAGCCAGTGCTCCTGACCGCTGAGCTGTCTCCCCAGCCCCTTATCTCCCCAGCCCCTCATCTCCCCAGCCCCTCATCTCCCCAGCCCCTCATCTCCC